TCCTTTCCGATCAAAGAAACCAATGCTATCAGGGTTCACTGCGCCGTGACGTTCTAGGATTTGCACTCAAGGCCTTGCAATACAGAAGGAGGTATTTAAAAAATAATAATAATAATAATAATAATAATAAACACAATTGGTAAACATTGATTAAAAAAAAACAGTTTACTCGAAAAACAACAATTTAATTGGTTCACAAACACTTTTGTGGAATTGAATGATTGATTGATTGATTGGTTGCTAGGAGGTTGCCCTGCCCCCACTTCCTACCTATGTGCACACACACACACACACACACACACACACACATATACATGCACACACACACTCGATGCAGGTGGGGGGAAAAGCAGTGATTAAGATATCCTAATGATATTTTTCAGTGAGCAATGTGAAATACATGTGCGATTTGCACCCAAGACCCTGAAAGACGACAGGGGAAAAATCGTGGTGAAGGCGGGCGAGACAACTGTGTTCGTAGTCTTGCTGCGCGTTCTGCTCGCACCCCACGTATCAAGCGCCCGGACCTAGACAAAGTTCATGTTTGGGTGCATTCATACGGGAAAGAAGATCAACGCAAATCGAACCAGCAATGGCGCGTACACATGCTCCACTGAAACACAATCATCGACACAACCTCCACGGAGAAGGGGATCACTGTGCAATCGAATCAGCAAGCGGATGGTTTTAAGCCCCACATTAAAACCATTAGGATTAGGTCACAGCAAGGTGAAGTGGTCGTTAATCCAAGCGGGTGTAGCAAAGGTGAAACTCCTCCAACCGACAGGATGACATCCAAACAACAAGCCAAGTCCATTAACGAAAGGAGCGTTTTTGGACTGCACTGTCATACTCAGCAAAGCGACCAAGTACCACGATCCCACAGTCTGCTGCAGCAGCCAGAAACCGATCTCAAGAAAACAAACACCCATACACACTTGAGTATAATGGCAGCAACACAGACCTAAAAATAACAGCTGTTGTACAGGCCCAGAACGAAACAACAGCTGGTCAGGTCTTGAAGGAACAACAATTTTATGAACTAGAATGAGGCAACAATATGAGAGGATCTGAAGGGAATAGCAATACTGGCCCGATAAAAAGGCAGTTCCACAGTCAGGTCATAATTCCGATCACTATTGCAGCAACAAGGAGCCAGTCGAAAAAAAACTGGCGGCTTCAAAGTTGAAACGATAGAAAATGTTAACAGCAGCACATGCCCCAGAAGAAAACAGCAGCACAAGTCTGAGCATGGTGACAGCAGGATATGTCTGTGACTCCAACCTCCATAGTGAATTGGAAAAACACCTTCCGCAGTAAAACAGACGTGGCACAATGGCATCTACTCCTACCCAATAAACCTTAATGTCAACCATTTCCCAATATCACCATATCACCACTTAAAACAACCATCATGCTGCCCTCTGACGGAAGCCGACACTGTATCCTAGTGGTGGCAGTAGGTGCATGAGTAACGTGTGCCGCAGCAGGCATGCAGTCAACATTTGCTAGACTGGTACCCACATGCGCCACAAGCGACTCTGGATAACTTTTCACAAGTCTACCAAGTAACCCTCCTTGGACGAACAGTAGCTGCAGCTAACCAACGGCCAACTCGGTACCCCTAACTAACGATTTTAACCTCTCGCTAATAACGATCACCTCCCTTTCAATCCTCATCTCACATTTTTCTATGTTGACCTGCAGTGCCCCTTTGACGCGAAGTTAGTAGGTGACACCTCTTCCCCTTTGCTCATACCCAGTGCTCACTGAACCTGGTCGGTGTCTCAGTTAGATGCGTGTGACTCCCTCTGTCTATGTTATCGGATCCAACAATCACCGGAGTCTATAAAGCCGAAGGATCTCAGCAATGAGCATAGTGAAATCAGTGTTGGTAAGACATGCACTATAAAAGAGGAGGGATTGGAGCACTGAGCTACGATGCATCGTCTAAGTAAACACGCTGCCCATCTTTTCCTCTAACTTGCATCTTATAAGATGCACCTCCACTGAAAGTATGGAAAAATACATTGTTGTGAACATATAAGCTTCCCCTCCTTACCGTTCGATCCTACCACTGTCGTCTTCTTCCCCTTGGATGCTCCTGGCCCAAAATCCGGCCATGTTCATCAATCTTAGCAGCATGCTGGCCAAACAGTTCAACGATGGTGGTAACGGCGATGGAAGTAAGCGATTGCGGTAGTGTAAGGTCTAGTTATGAGGGAAGGAACACGAACGCAACAGCAGGCTCATGCACGACGAGAACTAATTGCGGCAAAGGAGGGTGACTGAGTTGTGCTTAGAGTCTTGCACCTTGGAGCTAGGCAAAATTATTGTTTGGGTGCGTTTAGACTGGAAAGAAGATCATTGCAAATCGAACCACCAACGGTGCGTGCATGTGCTCCACGGAAACACACCGTTAAACAGCTATAACACTAAAGACAACAATCAGATGCAATCATGCACACATTGTGGAAACTGCAGACTGGCATACCCACCCCTCTTTACAACACCTACCAACACTCCCAGTATCATCACCCTATCCACACCTCTCACCCCCGAGAGATCGCCCTGCCTGCCCCAGCCATTGTAACGGAGTCACATTTATGATCATCAGTAGTCATAGGATAAAAATGACTACAACATTAGGGTAATTTTATGTAATTGTGTTGAATGATCATTAATAATTACAAGAAGAGCTTGCACAGGTTGTCATGGAGCAAAATGGAGGATTCAGACAAAAAACTATTGGAGCAAAACTATTCAGGGTTGTCACAGCCTCGGCCCCGAGGGTCCGGGGCAGCCCCGGGGGTCTGGTGCGGTGGTCCCCTGACCCCGGCCCGGGAGGGGCCAAAAAAAGAAAAATAATAAATAAATAAATAATAAATAATAAATAAATAATAAATAAATCAATAAATAAATAAAAATAAATAAATAAATACAGGGGGGTGCGCTGCGGACGCCTGCAGCCCATGGGCCTAACTGCAAAAATGCAGTTTTGGCCCCACCTCGGACCCCCCCCCTGGGGCTACACCCTCCCCTGGTGAGCCCGGGGTGGCCCTGGGCGTGGGGCCAGGGGCGGGGCCGAGCGGGGTGCGGGGCCGGGGATGGCTGGGAGCGGGGCCGGGGTTATGGGGCCGGGGCCGGGAGCTGGGGCGGGGGTGCGGGGC